ACCCCCAACCTCCCACCGCCCACCTCCCGCCTACACCCAGGTTGCCATTGGTATTCTACCACTCGAGATATATATCAACAGGGCAAATATCCTGGGATATTCACCTCAACTCTATATATGGAAATTCGAGGCGAATAGGTCGAGAGCTATAAAAGCCCAAATTTCGTACCTCAACATTGATGTATTTTCTCGTAATTGAACATTTCCAGATTATTTCCTTCACTAAAGTGATTTTTCCTCAAAATATCGACCTTTTCGCGAATATTTCGGGCATATCTGAAGGATCTGAAGTTATTGCCGATATCTTCTCATTTTTCGTTTTTTTTTTAGAAAATTTCTGATAAATAGCTGATGAAGTTGAGGTGAAAAAATACACCGAGCTTTTAAACTTTATTTTTGAAATATTATTTATGAAATCGAAAAATATTGGGAGTTTAGGGATGAACTTGTTTACACAAGCAATACGGTTACAATCGAATTTGAACCAAAACAGGTTTCCACTCTTCCGATCACCAATGTACAAATAATTTTCAGTGTAATTCTCTCTTCTGAAACGAATTTCCATAGAATCAACAAGCATCGGTGAACACGAATGATAATCACTGTCCAATCTGACCGATATTGCACAACTAACGATTGAAAAATTGTATTACAGAACCAACAACAGAAATTTTGGGGGGGCCCGACCTGTACATTGATCACGGCAGCACCATCAACCTCACATGCATCGTACTCAATAGCCCAGAGCCACCAGCCTATATATTTTGGAATCACAATGATGCGGTGAGTACTCTAATATTATCAAAGCATACGGGGTCAGTGTGCAGAACGTTGAATAAATGATGAACCGATGAATAATCATAAGTACTCGACAAATCCGCTTTTAACGTACGCCCATCAGGAAAAACGCGAAGAAAAATCATACCAAATTACGCTAAGAGCCATCCGATAACCAATCGCCCGCCCCTAATGAGAGACTTGATAATCACGGGAAACTATTCAAAAAAATCGCTTTATAGTGAATAAATGGGTCGATTTAACGGAAAATAATCTCCGCAAATGCACGTTAGACAGTTATATTCACAGAGTATGATACTGCCTCTAAGCACGCACACGCTCACGCTAGAGTGAGCAATATCCATTCAAAGACCTCACTATTTTGTCATGGAATATACGTAAAATTCTGGAGAAGTCACATTGCGAGATTCAAATATCGAGAAAATTCCAGATTCTCTTAATGACTGAGACAAAAAAACTAAAAAATCTCACGGAATCTCATTGAACATTCTAATGAAGAGTGTTTACACCGTATGCCCAAAAAAGGGGACATGAATTGAACAATTTGGAATAAGGGATTTCCGTAATACAAACGCTAGCACTCCTGGTTCAATATATCAGACTAATACCCTTCGAAATGCCATCCGGATTCAATAACTTGGTGACAGAGGGTCATAATAGCGTCAATAGAGGTGACCTCTTCTGCTCGGTGGAGTCCTATAACGGTTGTCCGACGCATTGAGCAACCCAGAATCAAGTTGCACCCTCGAACGAGAAAACTGATTGTCCACGACGATTATAGGAGCAATTATACCTATTCATCCGATTCATTGTCCCATCCGAATGTTCGATAATCTCCTCCAAATGCTTCCTAATCTTCACCGATTAGCTCTCCAGTTTGCGAAGAGAAGATATTGAATTTGCGATGGTAACCAAAGCCCCATTTTTCCGTTATCTCGCCAACCTCGCATTCGATTCACATTAAACCCTTCCTAATACCTGACAGTCATTAATCCAGAATACGTTGTCAAAGTATCTAGGCCTCAGTACATACTGTAAACAAGATAGGATGCTGCAAACCGATCTGCAAATACAATCGTCCTCAACTGTCCCCATGACATATACATTGGACTACGAATTGGCCAATAGTATTCGGGAATGTTTCTGTACACCCTCGGGGAATTACAAACGAGAGAATTTCAGTGTGGCCCACAGAAGTACTTGCACACAGATCTACCACCCCCCTTCGTCGTATGAGAATTTCAACTGGGCCAAACAACGCAGTGCGACATCACTATAGTATTTCGATTTACAGAAACCGCTTCGGCACCACCAGTTGTACCCGGAATTCAATTAGCTGTTTTCCACTGGCTTCTATACCTTAGTGGCTGTACTAATCACGCAACTATCATCATCAATTTTCAATAGATCACTTGCACAAGTGTGTGCCAAAAAAAAATATTTCCATTTCCTTCACGTCCATCATTTCCATTACGTCTCTATATCAAACAGCGGTGATTCCTACGCTCCATTTTATAAAACAGAATTATCCACAAAATGGAAGTTCACCACAGAAAGATACATCGAGTTCGTACATACCGAAAGGGCATATATATGTGACCTTTACTGTAGATTTTTCATGTAATTACATTTCGCAGCTCCGCGGGCATTAAATTTTTCCATTTGCGTATTGGAGGACAAAAAAAATTCAGTGTTACGATGTCAAAGGAAACATGCAATGTAATTTCTTCTCTGGGCAAGATAAAGCTATGAAGTCAACCGCGAATTGGTGACAGGCCTTAAAAAAACCCAGACTTGGCAGATAAAAAGATTTTTCATGGTAAAAGGTAGAGTCTTTGAACCTAATACTCACGCTCTGTTTATTCTTTCCCGATAATGTGAAGATAACTTATTTGACATTGAGGTAATCCAGCAGACACCCATTAGGAGTGAACCGACAAACATTCTATAGAGCTCTCGAGTCTTATCAAATTTCCTAGCTAATGGAAGTCCCATTTTAAGCCTTTAATAATCGTTTGAGTAACCATCTTATTAACAGTCATTAGCGCTATGAGAGCATCGCGGAGTGATAAATTTAACATTTTCATAACGAAATCCCATGCGAATTCGAGGATGCCCCTTCGGCAATATCCACTCAATGAATGAAATGTTTATTTTCCATGTCCGAATGGTCTGTTCCTGGGATATTTCAATGTGCATTACTATTTGTATTCACGTACCGTCGAGATGATTGGAAATGGTTATTCGTTTGTTAATGTGATAATGCTATTTTTGAAAAACCTCAGTGAACGGATGGCTGAAATGGAAAATCCCCACGTTCAGTAAATGAAACCATATTAACCCCTCAGGATAGAGAATCATTCCATTTTCCAATTGTGTTTACCTTCACTCGTCCTACTCATCTAAATCGGCTTAATTCGTGGAAGTTATCCTTTTCGGCAATTTTAAAATCGACATTTACTATTTGACATGCTTGGTCACTATATATCATCATTTGACACAATCTGTCAACGGAATTTCTACGAGGGATATATAATTAATCCAGATAGCATTGCGACTATTAAAGCCTATTAAAATTCCGAAAAAATTGATAGTCACTTGCATAATTGATACGCGAACATAAATTTCGTAATTCTTGTTGAATATTCATATCCGTTCATGTCATATGTTATTATTGATATATTTATGTTTGTGCTGAGGAAAGAATATTTTGTCTGAACGATCAAGGTTAGTCATCATCAACGCAATATCTGCCGCGTCAGAAGATTGTACGCGCCAATCCATAGAGCTCGTTTAACCATTCAATCAGTAGGAGTGACAAGCAGTATGTACAAAGACCAGGTATGCAATCAACGTTGGCTTATGACTCACGCTTACTAGGAATCCCTCGTTTAAGCGAAATAATTGCAAGCACCGATTCCTAGCCTGCAGGATATTCAGGGAGTTATAGTCGAGGCTTTCCACCAGGGAAGACACGATGATTTGTTCCATTAGTTTCGCGCACGTGCGAGTCAGAACATCTAAAGATATCGCAAATCTGTTACTGTTCAATGTCGTGCAGTTAATACAACAATCCTTGAGGACTTTGGAGGTCCTTTATGTCGGATTTGCTTTGCCTAAGCATTTCTTCACATAAAAATCTTTAAACGTGAATTGCCATTTTTAAATCACATGATTTTGGAACAAATAATATTGATATTATAATATTAATCGAAATTGTTCGAAAAAAATAAATGTAGTATGGGAAATAAATATAAATGTAGCTTGGGCCACAATAAAAAAATCTGCGCATTTTGCTCAGTGTACCGAAAATTAATGAAATTTCATTAGACAGGAAGTAGTACCTCGGACCGATTGAGAAATCGGTGAACCATAGATAACACGTCCAGTTGGAGCTTTTAATCTTTCATGGAGAGGGATATCTCGATGTCGCAAGCTTTCTCGTTCGCCCACCGGACATCCACTTGGAGCATGGATTCAGCGAAAGTACGTGGCTCGAAAGCCAATTAAAAGATTTTCTAGCTTTCCGGGTGGAGAAAGAAGGGCTGAGGATCGGGTTGGATGCATAGCATACAGTGATTTTGGGTGTAAGCCAGGAGGAGCGAGAGAACAAGAAGAAACGCTGGAAAGGTGAATCGTACGTCGTCCCAGTGCTGGCTGCCAAATTGCCCAGCACCAGAATTTCGTCGACTTGAATAATCACGGGTTTCATTGATTCTCAACGGCTATTCGTCCTCCCTAGACGACATTATTTTATCCCTATATCCCTACTTGCAGTCCTCGCTTTTCCTTTTTACTCCGGTGGAGTCTCACAATACCTGACTCTATATACCGCATTATTCCTTATTGAATCTGGAATTGAAACTATACATTTTTTTCTCGGTGCACTCTTCTAAAATAACGTCGAACACCAACTGGCGTCTGCACCTGGAAACATATGTATTGGAAAAGAATTTGAATTTAAATTTTTAGGAGCTTTCATATTTATCTCAGGTGGAATTGGATTAGAAATGAATTTACGCTGAATTTGCGCTCCGCGCGCCTAATCGAGAAGGTATTCACTGATATTTGAAAATTCGAAATTTTTGGAAAAGTATCAGGGGAGCATGAAAATCGAGCAGGTATTCACTGAAATTTGAAAATTCAAAATTTTTGGAAAAATATCCTGGGAGCATGAAAATAGAGGAGGTATTCATTGGAATTGAAAAATTCGAAATTTTAAAAAATGTATCAGAGGGGCATGAAAATCGAGCAGGTATTCATTTAAATGTGAAAATTCGAAATTTTTGGAAAAATATCCTGGGAGCATGAAAATAGAGGAGTTATTCATTGGAATTGAAAAATTCGAAATTTTCAAAAATTTATCAGAAGGGCATGAAAATCGAGCAGGTATTCATTTAAATGTGAAAATTCGAAATTTTTGAAAAAATATCAGGGGAGCATGAAAATCGAGGAGATATTCTCTGGAATTGAAAAATTCGAAATTTTCAAAAATGTATCGGAGGGGCATGAAAATCGAGCAGGTGTTCATTTCAAATATTCGGAATAGACCATCGTAATCTTGTAATGAACTATTTCTAGCAAGTATCGATAGCATTGACAATTTTCCGGTGCATTAAATCACCTGATACACGTATTGAATTTTATTGAGACTTTATTGATGCAACCGAATGAATTCCTCTGGTTTCAATTTCAAAACAAAAAATTCATCCGGCAGCTATTGTTTTCAATTCATATACGAAATCTAAAGATACCAGAGGCAACTACAATTGTATTGACGAAAAATATTCTCCTGGAAAATGAAAAATATCAGATAACTTTTTCCAATAACCCAGTTTGCAGATATGCTCGAGCATTTTTTCACAGCCCTTCCTATTTTTCACATGCACTCTAGTTCAGAACTAGAGGAATGGAAAATGATTCGAAGCATTCAGACAAAAGCATCGAAAAATTTGTTGCCACGAGATAAATCAATGAAGATTACT